GCGACCAAGTTGGGCCAGACTGGCGGTCGAATGGCCTATCGGACCACCGCCACCGCTGCCACCGATTTTCGAGCCCATATGCAACATCGGTCGCAGCTGCAGCTGCTGCTGATGATGATGATGGTGGTGGTGGTGCTGCTGCTGCTGCTGGTTGTGATGCTGATGTTGTTGATGCTGCGAGTGTGCCTGCTGATGCGGTTGCTGCTGGTGCTGCAGTTGCAACTGTTGCTGTTGACGCTGCAGCTGCGCCGCGACCTCGCATTGCTCGCGGGCGAACGCCTTCACCGCATTCGTCTTCTCCTGCGGGTCACACAAAAGCGAGGATTATTCTATGAAATATTCACGTCTTCTTTCATCTAGAAAAAGAAAGAAAAATTAAAAAAAAAAACGCAATTTATAAAAAGTATTAAACTATAATATGTTTTCATTACACGAGATTTCACATCGTGAAATTTATTTACTTTCAATTTCGTTTATGCGATTGAAAAATGAGATGAAAAATAGACAGATATAGTAAAAAAATTTTATTAGCGAGAGTATCACAAACTGAGGGAAGAAATGAGACATTTTCGTCAATTCTCGTAATTTCTATAGCGGTGAAGTGTTAGGTCAAATTTATCGAGTTGTGACAAGAGAGAGATCACGGTTACGCAAAATCTTGCTCGATGATACGATTGCGTAATGTGAATCGTTCCAGGATCGCGCGAACGTAAAGTATTCATAGCGTTATCGACTCTTTTTCGTAGAGCAAAAATTCGAGGCAGCGAACACGTCCATTTCGCACCCACCGTCCACTTCGCGGGCATACACGCATACACGCATGCACGCACACACGCACGCACGCACGCACGACATCCTGCGTACAGATCCAGTTTGGAATCGAATTACACGGTAGAATGATCACCGACGTAAATAATAGCGTGATAATGACATCGACCGTTGCGGGATATGCTAATAAGACACGGCGGGGAGAGATTAAGGGCGTAGAGCCGACGGGGAAGGAAGAGGGGAAAGAGAGGGAGATGCAGACCGGTGCATCGCTGCTTGTGTGAAATACGAGAAAATAAAGAGGCGGACTGGCTACGACGGAGATCCGAGTATATCGTGACGATCGAAAAAATTCGCACGCCGTTAGGTCGCCAGACGAAGGAAGAAGAAGGAAGATGGGGACGAAGGAGGGAGGAGCGGTAGAGGTAGAGCGGTGTATTAAGAAAATGTATTTTTTTAGGCGCACTCACTTTCTGCCATACGAAGACGTTGTGGACCATGGCGCATCCGCAAAACACGATGCCGAGGCCGATGAAAACCGACGTGACGATCGCCGGCGTCGAATGGAACTGGATGAACGTGTACAGGATCATACCTGTGGAAGACAAACGGGATTAAAATCGCGATGTAAAACAAAGAATAATGATGGCAGATGAATGTGTTGGTTCTTTTCAAAGTTTATATCACTCTGGGGGGGGGGGGGTTGAACGTATCGTCGCGGATTAAGCAAAACTCGTATAATTTGTATAAATTAAAAAAAAAAAAAAGCATTTTATTTCTTACCAGTTAAGAAGACGGGGATGCTAATGAAAAAACCTCCGACGGCGCACACGCGGCTGATGGACGATTTTTGCAGGTACTTGTTACTTCTGAAACAGAGAAAAGTCACAGAGCGAAGGTAAGTTTCACGGGTCCGTGATAATTGGATGAGTTATAAAAGCGCATATTTTTACCACCGGCAATTATGATTCGCAGAAACACTTTGCGCGGTTACCACGACCGAGTGGATCTCAACTGGTGCACGCTGAGAACGCACGAGATAAACTTACGGACGAATTCCGAAGGGTATTACACTTAGATTTTTTTCTACACCAATATGAAAAGCACTACATTTTTGTGAGTGACGTTAAATATATTTATCAAGAAATGGAATGAGTGACAACTTTTACTTTTAATAAATTGTAACGTTGACATTATCTTAAAGATATATGACAATATGATATATGATGTATGTCAAATATGTTGTATTTCCAATTTGTTTAAAGCAACTGACAAAACGATGGGAGACGCGTCCCTGAAGAGCATCGGAGAAACGCGCGGCGATGGGACTCCTCACGAGTACAAAGGCCGCGAGTCGAAATATTCTGCTCCTCGGCAAATATTGCATAATCGCGAAAGTGCAGCGATACGATCGGTGCATAACGGTACGTACCCTTTACAGATAGCCCACGCCTTTTTTTCCCCCGTCTTCACCCGTGGCGTTCTGTCGCGCGCTCGAGACACCGCGTTTAAGCGCACTCCCATCGAAAGAGAGTCTCAGACGTGTCAAATGGATTTATGGTCCCGACGGAAAACGCGGGGCCGGTAGGCGTTTTTGTGGCGCAACTAATCTCTCATACGTCGGTGCCACGCCGCAGTTAGGTGTGCCCTCGTCGTAATCATCTTAGGTTTCCCATAAATAAAACCTCGGTTACAATGCCTCCTCCGGCCAAGCGTGGTGATAAAGCTTATTATTTAAAGGCCATCTTTACAACTCTCTCGGATTAAATCCACCGAATTAGGAACCATAATGTTTCCTCGGTCAAGCGAGATTTAAATTAATTGCTCGATAGAGAGCCAATAATTGAATATAATTAAATTCAAATTTATCGGGACAAGGATTTTAATTCCTAAAAAATTCGATATCACTTTACACGTGACAGATATATATATATATGAGAAAATATTATGAAAAACTCGCACGGTTAAAATGGAATTTCTTCAAATCAACTTCAAATAATATTAAATATATTACATTTTCCCGCTTATTCTTCGAGACATTCCTGATTAAAGACGTAAAACGTCTTAAAAAAGGAGATATCAAGTACAAAGTTTAATTGAAATTGTCTTCATCAAACATTAATTGCGGTTCCGGTAATTTATCGAGGAGCACACGAGCGGTAGCTTACTCCCCCAGAAATAAATTACCACTATGCTAGAAGCCTCGAACAATAGTGGTTCTAATCGCTTCGCATGACCCGTTCGTGTATCCAAAGAGATCGTTGACCCCGAAGGGCGGCAGCAACGGCTGCGTGGGAATTCCTCATTGCACCTTATAGATGACGCTTATTTAGAAGCGGCACGCAGACGAAGATTCGTGAGCTTTGCGGAGATACACCGTATCTCTCGATACGGAAAAGATACTTGGCGATTGCCATTCACCTTGCTCCGCAAACGCGTCAGAGAGATTCTCGCGTCTTGGCATTTACCATTTAATCGATCATATAATTAGTTACGAGATCATTAATCTAGTTATCGTTTTACTCATTTCCTACCGTTTCTCCCTATTCCTCATCACGCCTCTTGTTTCCTTTATTTTGTTACTTATCACTTATTTATCATTCGACTACCACCACATCGTAATTTAATATTCGGCTAAAATTGTCGAAATTGTTGATCAAATTTTTGTAAATTTTTGAATGCGTGTGAATGCGTGCAAAACATTTCAAAAATTCCATCTCTGGAATTTCGAATCGCGAGTATCGTTCGCACCTTCACATTCGTCACGCGCACTCTCTTCTTTTCTTTCGCGCACAGCAAAATTATACATGCTCGAGTTGAATAGGCGCGGATATGCTTTTGTTGCTTCCTCCTCCGTTGTGCGGTCTTTGTCGTCGCATTTGTGCATCTCTCACCGGTCATGAATGAACGTGCCGAACCAAAGGCAACGTGTCTCTCTGCTTAACGCGCGAGATCAACGAGGTTTTGTTGCGCGCCGATAGAAGCGAGTCATTCCGGAGCACCGAGAGTGACAAATCACGCGCCAACGGCTGCAACTTTTACCCGTTATGTACCGGACAAATAGACAAACGGAAACTTTTCTCTTTCATCGATATGACGAGGGAAAAGTACGGTAATCCGGTAATTGAGTAACGCTTAGCATGCACTTTCTATGATTAATTTTCTATGATTAATACATAGTAAATATTAAAATAATAATGTTATGTTATATTAATATAATAAATGTTAAAGTGATAAATTTATGATCTAACTTATTTACGATCTACTTTAATGATCTAATGTCGCTAATTGTGTATCCCGCTTAAGAAAAAGTAAGATATTTTCGGGATTGATGAAAAGATTAGTTTGCAAAATTGATCGTTCTTTCTGGAGGAAAAAAATTAAGAAATAATAATAATATAAAATATTACAATTATTTATAATTTCTTTCAAGGAGTTTTATCTTCTGATGTCGTAAATTGAATGACTCCAATTCTCTTTCAGGAAAACATACATATGCATTTTCGCGCGTGCGCTAACTGTGAAGTGGCATTGTTCGGCACGAGAAAGATGAGCACGGGATTATAAATTCCCAGCATCTACTTGTACATAATGGAAATTGTTCGCACGAAAACACCGTGTGTAAGAAACACCGTGACCGTTTGCTTGCCCCGTATTCTCTGTATCGACCGCTACATTAATTATCCTAGGGCTTACAATTGCAACCGGACCCCATTAGAAAATTCCGCACGGTAACGGTCGAGATAGAAAAGTTCCCACCTAGTCTTGACATGCGAGATACGCTCTATTTTATCAAACTGACATTGGCTTCTTTTGCTTCCTCTTCCCTTTTAAATTTCCTGGCCAAACCGCCCGTTAATTTATTTGGCCAAATTATATATCGTATTCGATGAGATCAAGGTTGGAAGCGGAAGCGTACGCTCTCGATCGAATTATTCTTACGTGCGCAATTGTGTGCGTGCGTCACTTTTACAGCTTCTTTCACCCTCCGTCGAGACTTCTCGCCTTCGGCAATTAGCGCTTCCTCCCGCGCGATCGATCATTTCCGGGAAATCGAAATCCCGGATTCGCTCGCGCGGTCGGAATCGTCGGAAACATTGACCCGACATTCGCCAAATGAAATATCCGGGACCGAAATATCCGCGGATATATACCCGGTTGATATTTATAAAGCGGCGGAGGTTTATTAATTAAGCGCGACCGCCGGAGAAGTCAGCGACCGACGCGGTGCGGCTTTTAATGACCGCGCGGAAAATCACGCGCGTCCACGTGTACCCGCTACATTCATTGCCAGAGCTAAACAAGTCTTGAGAATGTCGTTCTAGA